AGGAGTCTAACTTTTTTTCAGCCATATCACTCAATATTTTCCTTATGCATCTTATAGTCTAGCCATACAAGACAGAAGATTCCCTAAGCATTCTCTCCTCACAGTGCTTTTGCTTAAGCCATTGCCTCTGCTCAGAATGCCCTTCGCTGCTTTTGATGAAATCTTACTCATCTTTTAAGAACCAACTCAAATTTCACTTCTATCATAGTCAATCTTCTTATTCCTATGGCAAATTGAGTTAATTGTTCCCTTTCTACAAATAATATATACTTCTTTAAAGAATTTGTTATGTTCTGTTATAGTTATTAACATGTTTGTTCCTCCCAACCAACCAGACTGTGAGATCTTTGGAGCCTGATTCAATTTTGATTTTGCAATGTAAAACAGGTAACAGGTTCTCATTAAACATTTGAAAAAATGAATCTTCCTATAAATCAGTTGATTTTACATTGAAAAAAAAATTCAGTTACAGACTACAATTTTAGTTTAAGCCAGTTTAACTCACAAGTATATGTGTCACAAGAACACTAGGGAAAAGGGCACAACACACTCTGCTGAAAAACAATTCAGCACATAGATGATCAGTGCTAATTCTTTCACCACCAGAAAAACAAAATAAAAACTAAAAGGCTGAATGATATGGGAAACTGAATTATTTCCAACTTCCCATCTTCAGGTAAGTCATTTGTTTCTGCTTATGGACTGACTTTCTGAGGCCTAAGAAAATACATGTATAAAGTTTTTACAAAATAATTAAGAATGGAAAAATAAACATTCTGCATTCTGACCAAACTAAATACAAGGAAAGTCCAACAGAATAAAGGTTATTCTTGACACTTATATTTCCTGCTCACCTCCTATTGTTTAAATTCTTTGACTGAAGCCTTTTTTAAGTTGTCCAGGATCATTGGTGGTTAGTGGTCTCCAGTTCCTCCTGGTCCCTGTTACCTGACTTCTGTGCACTTTAGATCTCTTGCTAGCATAAAACAGACTAGCAGGATTTTATGCTAATCCCAAAAATCAATCACAGACTTTTAAGTAAGAGTTTCTGAGCCTCTTGAAGATAAAGAAATTACTATGAGCCAATATGGGTTTATGAAGAATCAGAATAGTATCATTTTCTTCTTTTAGATGGTAATTAGACTGATAAGAGGAAAATTCAATGGTTGTGATTACCCCTATGTACCAGGAAGACATCTGACAAAGTTGCTCATTCCTTTGAGCAAAACTATGAGTTGGAATCAATTAAGCAATTAGTAATTAGATGAAAAAAATCTTAAGATACCCATAAGATTCTGAATAATGGATCTAAGTCAGTATGATGGGGTGGTCCATGTAATTTTGTGGTCTTCAAATTTTATTGTGCATCAAAATCACCCTGAGGTCCCATGCCCAGAGTTCCTAATTCAGCAGGTGGGGCCCCAAAATTCTCATTTCTGACAAGTTCCCAAGTGACACTTTTGCTGCTCATCTGGGGACGACGTTTTGAGGACACTGACATACTGTATCTCAGAATATAGCTATCAGGTATTATTCAACATTTTGTTAATAATCTTGTTAAATACATAAGCAGCATGATTACAAATCTGCAGAAGGTATTAAATTTTGACACACAAAGATCTCAACAGGCTAATTGTGGGACAAATCTTAAAATCCTAAAACAAAAATCAATCACACAAGTATAAGATAAGAAGAACACAGCTTAACAATCACACAAAAAAGAGAAAGATACAGAGATTTTAGAACACTAGAGTAGCCTCAGTGATTCAAGGGTATACTCTTTGACAACTAAAAAAGTAGTAACAGTTTGGTTTTACTAATAAGTACAGAATATGGAACAATGTATTAAGTGAAATTGTTGATGTCTGGCCTTCAGAAGATTGAGAAGAATATGAGAACAGTTTTTATGTATTTGCTTGTGGTGAGGATTTGTTTTTTTCTATATGACCCTAAGCAGAACTGCCACAGTTGTCAGGCTCCTTACTGTAACACACAGGTGTCCAGCTGAGGGAAGGAGGGATGAAGGGGAGGGCTGAAATCTGGGTCACATTTCACTTGTTAAGCCATGCGCCTTGGTGGGGGCCAAGTCTAGATGAAAAAGGGTAAACTGTTTCTAATTCCTAAAAAGGGGACAACTCTGGAGGACTTCTTTAGTGGGAACAGCTTTTCTAATTTGCACAAAGGCACAATATGGGCTCAGTGATGAATCTAGCTCTAAGGTAGAACTAGGTCCATTAAGAGAAGTTTAGAGAAAAAGAGATTTCAGCTCAATGTAAGAAACTGATAGAGTGATGTATTATATGGAAATAGATTTCCTGAAAAGCAGTTACTCCTCCAAATTGGATGTTCAAGGAATAGCTGGGCAACTATTTGGCAGGGTTATTGTAGAGAGGATTTCAAAGTAGAGGAGTGTGGGCATGAATATGTGTATTAGTGGGTGAGCAGTAAAGCTCAATGATCTAGCTTCTAAGGTTCTACATCTGAACTTCTCCATATCCCAGTTGATTCCTATGGTACCCACATCCCTTTCCACAAATTTACCACTCATTCTAGCCTTCCTCTTACCTAGCCAAATTCCTCTTCCTGTCTCCCTTTCTTCCCCTTTCCCTGCCCCAATATGTAGAAAGCATACACACTGTATTAATACTGAAAATAAACTTTGCATTTTAAAAAACTGCTTTCTTCCAGATTAAAAAAAACAAAAACACTGCTTAAGATGAAAACTTAAAATTCTTTTAATATATTCATTAGAGAAAGCTATATTTCATTTTTAGGTGATTCATGTATCAATCACTAAAAGTCATGATAGGGGGTAGATAATTGTTTTACACTAGAAAGGGGGTGAAACAAACATGAAAAATGTAATGCCGGGTTATATTTGTTCAGTTATTCTCTAATGACCAAATGCATGACACTGTGTTAAGTAATGATTAAGCAATATATGACAAATATTAAGAAGCAGAACTAACCACAGGCATAATCCTAAAGGAAGCTGAGTTACCTTCTGTGGTTTGTCTTGGAGTTCTGGTCTCTCCCTTTCCATATCTATAGTACCTGAACCTCTGCCCACACCAGGCCAGGATTTACCCCTCTTGTATTTGTACCCAGATTTCCTTAACTGATGACCTCATACTTAGGGCCTTTTTTGGTCTCTTCCCAGAGATTAGTCCTTTAAGAAAACATTAGCATCTCATAAGGAGCCTTCAGTGACTCCACTCAAAGAGGTAATTAAAGGTAGAAACTGTCCTATGGAAGGCCAGAGAGGCAAAGATTTGGGGCTTTATGTGCCTTTTCTAAGTACAGTTAGGATAGCCCTTCATGAAGAGGTAAAAGAACAGAGGAAAGATCTAAATATCTGAAGTTGCCTAACCAAACATTAATTTCCATTTTTGTACATAACAATCGAATTGAGAAGACACAGTCAAATGCCAATAAAAAGCTCAACCACCTAATTATCTTGAATTCACATTAAAGGTGCAATAACACAAAATGCTGGAAGCAATATTCATGTAAGATGATCACAATAGGATGTCATACTGGAATGATCTCACAACACAATCTTTAAAAAAGTTTTAAAAAATCAGTTTCAAATTATTTATAGAATGGAATAACAATTACTCTGAGCTTAGAAACTTGCAAATAAGGTGATTTGGACTAAATACTTTTATATAAACAAAATATTACCATTTTTTAAATGATAGTCTAATTCTGAGAAAGATAATAAAGGTTTTCTCTTTTTAATAATTTATATTTTTATTGAAGTATCATTGATATACAATCTTATATTCGCAAAGGTTTTCTAATTAGAGAAAACAGAAACACTTTCTAGGAAAATAAAATAAGTCCTTTTCTTCCCAAAGAAAACTATCTTTGTTTTCCTTTGTACATATAAGCATTTCTTTTTTTTTTTTGAAGGAAATAGGTAGGTTTTAAAAAACTTTGGGTTTATTTTTTTGTGTAATAAATTAATCTTGATCACAGAGCCTATATAATTAGTCTTTTTAATGTTAATTATGCTTTTCCTAGCAACAGAATGCCTTATGTACAATGGGCAGACAAATACTTGATCTGTTGAAAAAAGAAATCTTTCACTCTTGCTTCAGTTGCAAGCTGCTGACATTTTTAGTGTCTTTCACATAGAATACATTATTGCAAAATTTGCCTCAGACAAATATTTTATAATCCTTCTTGTGCCACACTGATTTTCAATATATCAACAGTGGTGCCTGACTGACTTGTCAACCTGGAATTTTCATCATTTAATCAGTGCACCATTCATTTGAAAGCACTGCTTAAAAATTGTTCCATGTCCTATATTTAAAGAGTTATAATTTAAGAGTGATAAAACCCACATCTAGAAGCACATATGCCAAGGCTAATGACCAAATAGCACATCCAGTTTGGAAGCTGGCTATGTCAACATTATGTTTATGGAAACTGCTAACTTTTTTACCTAAAGAAAATAAACTGAAAACAATGGTGAAGGTAAAGGCATGAGAACTTTTCTTGATTTACACTTTCTAGAAAGGGGGTGAAATAAACACGAAAAATATAATGCCAATTTATATTTGAAAATCAATAATTCAGAATATAAAAGAAGCCTCATTTGGAATACAAGGTCCTAAGATTAGCCTTCTAGCAAGTATCTACAAAGTTTCTTACAATGAAAGTAAGAATGACAAACTTAGAATGATTTCATTCATTTATGACAAACAGGAGAGTCCTGGCAAGAACACAGGAGCGACTAGAAGGAGTAAAGGAGAACATGAATCGATTTTTCAGTTATCCCGGTCTGGACTGCCACTTAATGCCTCTTTCTAGAAGTCTGAAATGTGAAGCTGAGATATTTTTTTCTTCCTAGAAAGAAGTTGTATCCAAGGTTGCTGAAAATTAGGCCTCTTTCCTCCTTTCTGAACTATCCTACTGTATACCATTTTTTTTCATGTAATTTAAGTAAAGATTCTTAGAAATACACGAAGTTTAACCAATAAGGTACTTACATTCACACTGTATGACATCTAAGTTAAACTGCTGAATGGCTCCCATGCTTATCTGTTTTAACTCACTGTCCAGTAGCATTTGCATTAAGGATGTTGACAGATGCTGGCAGGCTGACATGCAAGCAGTCTGGGCAACTTTTCCCTGTTTAAAAGAAACATTCAAACCAAAAAATAAATAAGCATAGACATATATCACAAACTACCAGAAAAATATTATATACCTGGGTTTTTTTTGTTGCTTTTTGTGGGGTACAATAGTGATTATTGGCCTTTCTCTGTTCCTATATTCTGAGTGGCTATGCCTTTTAGCATAGGAATTAAACTTAGTATTCTTGTTCACTTGTCCTTCTCAGGACATAAATATCATTAAAGTGCTAACTGCATAAAGAAAAACTAAGTGACAAGTAAAAAAACCATTATTTCAGATATCTTGAAATGTCTTAAGCATTTTAAAATGCATATTAAAATGACATTTATGACATAAAATAACTGTAATATTGGCAGATCATTTTATTCATATAATATATTTAAGCTCTTTTATATAATTAACCAAGCTAGAACAAAGGAAGTTAATAAACAGCATAATTTATTACTTAATCTTTACCTAAAATTCAAAGTATACTTTGAGTCTTAAGTCCTTAATTCTAGTCAGAACATTAGTTTGTAGCACAGTTTCAATTAGTGACATGAGGCAAGGTGGTGGTGGAGGGCCTGCCTACCAATAAGAGTTCAAAATCATCTACATATCTATATTTAATTTTAGAAATTAAGTTTTAAAATTATCTTATAATTTTGAAATATGTAGTTAAGTATGCTACAAATACTTGTGGTTTTCTTTCACTATATGAATGATTTAAAAATATTTTCTACTAAAATAAGCTCCTGGAAACTCCACAGCAATTTTTACTGGTAGCCTTAAGGCTATATTTTCTTAAAAATGATAAAAATTATAATTTTAAATGTTTGGCTACTAGATTACTTAGCTGAATCACAATACAATATCACTTTTAGTATAAACTTTTTTTAAACAGACTTTGTATCTCCAACTACAAATTTAAAATAAAATACTATAAAGACTCTTTTAGGTAAACTTTTCCAGTGTGATATCGCTCCTAGTATGGCTATCTTCAACCCACAATTATGTGATTGGTGGTGGATAGACTGTCATAATAGAATTCAAAGATCTATGGATATGGTTAGAAATACTGACTTTTGAAAAATGTGCCATGTTCTGTCTCATTTGCATTAACAAATATTTACCCAATGATATTTGATAATTATGTTTTCCTACTTATCACAAAGGCCAATAAAGCTACAAAACCATGAAGAAAAATTCTCCCAAACATATATATATGCTATAATATATTGGTAGAAAAATGTTTACATACAGTTGATCTGTTAGAAAAGAAAGAACATAACCATTTTCAAGATGTTTACTAGAACATTTGTTCATTCAATTACACAGTTAAAGTCAGACTAGAAACAACCATCTTTTATGAATGAGTCTTAAGCATTTAGACACTATGCACAGTGAAAAAGTGTATCTGATATGGAATGTCAATTTCTCTATCAAAAACTTCAGAGATAAAAGCTCATGTAAACAATATATTTGACAGATACTGATGAACTGCCAAAAAGGAATGTAGCAAACAATGCAAATCCCAGCATGCTTCAAGATCTCCCAAACCCAAGAGGAATTACTCTGGGAGACATGCAGCTCCATTACCCAAGCAGAATAATATCAATATGAATGGGAGGGGGAAAAAGAAACAGAAAAAGGAGAAATCAACAACATGTAATTTAATTACAATGTAGTAGGCTTGAGAATAAATGGAAATGTAATCCTGACCTAATGGAACAACTATTGCAGTTTAGTTTAATGTACTTCTCCATCAAATCAGCTCCATGTCCTACTTAGGTTGCCACTATAATATACTAACTGCAAAAGGAGATTAAAAAATTGTGAAAAAGTACTATTCAACAGTTTCGTAGGCAAATGCAATGCAGTGTCAGCGGTATTGTTGTTTTAAGGTGATCTTTAAAATTTAACATGGATTCAAATACTACTAATTAGTATATAGCAATAGTGATGGAGCTAAAAATGATGTTAAGAGTACAGAAATATAGGCTATTCCTTAAACCCAGTGGAAATAGGTAATGAAAACACAAACATACAAACATACATGAATTTAACTTTCTGTCTAAATAACATGTAATAATGTAACCCTAATATTACATTTCTTTTGATTATGCATATTAAAGGCAGGCTTATTGTTCTCAAAGATAGAAGTCTAAAATATTTGTAAAAATTTTTAAATTTTCAAATGAAATTCTTTTTATAGCTCAAAATTTAAGTTAACATCAGAGGTTCAGATTCTTTAAATTTTTAAAGTTTTATTCTGTAAGATTATGCATCTTTAAAAATATCTACTTCCTAACTATATAATGTGCACAAATACTCTTAAATTTCATCTACTTATTTTTAGATAGAAAATTTTTAATGTTCCAAAAATTTGTATACCCAAAAAAATATCCTTGGCAATTCATTTCTGATGCCTATAGCCCTTCATACACTTTGGAATAACCAGAACACCCTTTTCTGACATTATTATTTCTGTAATTGTCGATGCTCTTAATACACACTTTCTAGAAAAAAAATTAATCTAAATACTTCGACAATTGTCTTTAAAAGCTAGTCTTTTTCATTAGAGATGCCATTTCTAACATAACAAAGCCAAAAATAATTAAGTGAAGTGACTGAGAAAACATGGCATGTTTAATAAATATCATGCACCTAGAAATTTCTGCAGCCCTCATCTGAAAAATTAATTGCTACTATTAACATTTACATCCTCTTTAACAACAGAAAGTTCAGTAAGTAAAAACACCTGCCAAACTTTTAAAGGTAACTACTTTTTACCCTGTTCTAACATTTGCTGAAAAACAACTTGCAAAGAGAGAAAACCCTTAGACAAAACTTCTTATATTTCAAAGGAACTTGTAAAAGAGAATCTGCTGACATATTAGATCCTTTTTGCATTACCCAAAAGCTTTTCTTCTAAGAACAATTGTGGTAAAGAGACATTTGGCTCCTAGGAAATTCCCAAAGGGTCAACCATATGCATCCTTCCATGGCACCTTCACAGGGCTGCTTTCTGGATCCATGAAAATCAGCTCCATGTCCTACTTAGGTTGCCACTATAATATACTAACTGCAAAAGGAGATTAAAAAATTGTGAAAAAGTACTATTCAACAGTTTCGTAGGCAAATGCAATGCAGTGTCAGCGGTATTGTTGTTTTAAGGTGATCTTTAAAATTTAACATGGATTCAAATACTACTAATTAGTATATAGCAATAGTGATGGAGCTAAAAATGATGTTAAGAGTACAGAAATATAGGCTATTCCTTAAACCCAGTGGAAATAGGTAATGAAAACACAAACATACAAACATACATGAATTTAACTTTCTGTCTAAATAACATGTAATAATGTAACCCTAATATTACATTTCTTTTGATTATGCATATTAAAGGCAGGCTTATTGTTCTCAAAGATAGAAGTCTAAAATATTTGTAAAAATTTTTAAATTTTCAAATGAAATTCTTTTTATAGCTCAAAATTTAAGTTAACATCAGAGGTTCAGATTCTTTAAATTTTTAAAGTTTTATTCTGTAAGATTATGCATCTTTAAAAATATCTACTTCCTAACTATATAATGTGCACAAATACTCTTAAATTTCATCTACTTATTTTTAGATAGAAAATTTTTAATGTTCCAAAAATTTGTATACCCAAAAAAATATCCTTGGCAATTCATTTCTGATGCCTATAGCCCTTCATACACTTTGGAATAACCAGAACACCCTTTTCTGACATTATTATTTCTGTAATTGTCGATGCTCTTAATACACACTTTCTAGAAAAAAAATTAATCTAAATACTTCGACAATTGTCTTTAAAAGCTAGTCTTTTTCATTAGAGATGCCATTTCTAACATAACAAAGCCAAAAATAATTAAGTGAAGTGACTGAGAAAACATGGCATGTTTAATAAATATCATGCACCTAGAAATTTCTGCAGCCCTCATCTGAAAAATTAATTGCTACTATTAACATTTACATCCTCTTTAACAACAGAAAGTTCAGTAAGTAAAAACACCTGCCAAACTTTTAAAGGTAACTACTTTTTACCCTGTTCTAACATTTGCTGAAAAACAACTTGCAAAGAGAGAAAACCCTTAGACAAAACTTCTTATATTTCAAAGGAACTTGTAAAAGAGAATCTGCTGACATATTAGATCCTTTTTGCATTACCCAAAAGCTTTTCTTCTAAGAACAATTGTGGTAAAGAGACATTTGGCTCCTAGGAAATTCCCAAAGGGTCAACCATATGCATCCTTCCATGGCACCTTCACAGGGCTGCTTTCTGGATCCATGTCTCAAAAGCAGCTTTCATCATTTACTTGTGTGTCAGTCAATATGATTTATGGACTGCATTCAACAAAGTCAAAGCATATAGAATGAGAAATATGACTACAATCTGCTAATTTGTTTTGTATTGAGCCACTTAAGAGTCAAAGACCTGATGTCAGACTGAGACCAGCAACACAATTAACCAGTCGGTGACAGATTCATCCATCCTCCCTGCCAGGCTGTGCCAATCAAAGACAGCATGAGGCGACATTTGGAGAAATCAGTAAGAAAACTCATTCTCTAAGTAACCTATGTGAGACCTTGATTGACACTTTTTGAATTTAGTTTGTGGAACACAGCCCCTCTTTACCCAATAGTCCTTCACTGCAAGCTGTGAAATAAGGCTTTTAATGCCAATCACAGGAACAATAAACCACAAACCACCAACCCTGAGTTTAAAAGGAATCAAGAAAACACATCTGTTTCTATGTCAAGTCAAATTTCCAAAATAATTTACTATTATAGATTAGGCTAAAGATATTCTGTTTCCTTTGAAACATCATAAAATGACATGGTAACAAAAATACAACACATTTTATTAGGTTACGGTTCAAACCTGTTTTGGTTTCAAAGTAATGTTTTGATAGATCTACTCTAATATAATAGTAGGAGAAATGTAGAATACTTAAAAAGTAATTCGACATTGAAATTTTCATTTGAAGTTTTC